GAGGGATTGTATAAATAAAATACGATGCATTCACTTATTGGAATACTATGTAGGCAATAAAAATTATGACATGGAAATATGTTTATGATATGAGAAAAAAGCTTATCATATAATATCTAAATTTTGTAATAAAGTATTACAAGTAAGTATTTACAAAAACAGTCTGAAACCTGATAATGCTGAAACATGACAATGGTTATTTCTGAATGTTTGGACTACAAGTGGTGTACATATATATGTTTGCTCAACAAACATACATTACTTGTATAATTTTTAAGTGGTAAAAAAATTTAAGTGACAGCAATTAATTCAAATTATACAAACAATAGATCACACAACATAAGAGAGTAGTCAAAGAACTTTCAGGGGAGTATATGTAAATCATCTTGCCCTTTTTTTTTTCAGTACATTCTAGACAAACAAAAACAATTTTTACTGCAAAAATTATAAACCAAGTCTGAAAGCCTCAAAATAGATCAGAAGTGCTGGTAATCACTGGGACTTCAAAATCCACCCTGACCCTTCTTTCTTTTTGAGTGGTACAGAGCTCTAATTCATTTTAACGTGTCCTGCCTTCTGAAGGTTCCTCCAATATCTTTGGCACCTAATAGAAGGCTCTCAAAACTGGACATCCCTTGGCATGGGACATCAACTGAGTCACTGCCTGTTAGCGGGTGAGTGTGGTGAATGAACGCACTTCCTCTGGTGGGAACAGACTGGTCACCACTTCTGCATGACAGAATGTGACCCTCTAGTCCATGTCATCTTAAGCCCACCTACCCAGGTTTTTGAGTTCATGACAGATGTGCTCATATTAGCACGTTCTGACCCAGGGTTCGGCAAACTTTCTCCAGATAGAGCCAAACAGTGAATAGTTTAGGCTTTTGGGCCGGTCGGTCCCTGTTGCAACTACTCTATTCTGCTGTTGTAGACTAAGTCGGTATGTCTGTGTTCCAACAAAACTCTATTTACAGTAAGAGGCAGCTGGCCCGCAGGCCGTGGTTTACCAAACTGTGCAACACACTTGTCCCCTTGATCCACAAAGTGTGGTCCTTGGGTAAGCAGCATCTGTATCTCCTGAGAACATGTCAGGAATGCAGAAGCTCAAGCTCCTCCCCAGACCTATTGAGTCAGAATCTGCATTTTAGAAAGATCTCAGGTGGTCTGGGTGCACATTTAAGTGTGAGAAGCGCTGTCAGAGAAGCTGAGTCTCCAGCCTAACTGCTCATTGGTATCACCTAGAAAGTTTTAAAACTCTGTACTGATCTCCAGAGGTTCTGATTTATTTGGTATGGGGTTGAGTCCAGGTGCTGGGATTCTGAAAAGCTCCAGGTAATTCTAATGTGCGGCCAGAATTGAGAATCTATAGAGAACGGCACCTGGACATACCCAGTGGTGACTCAATGACAAAAAACACTGCCTCTCTGAAAGAGGAAGAAAGGGT